TCTGCCTGGACGTTCATTGAAATGCATTACAGAAAGTCAGTTTTGTTCGGTTTTATAAGCTTTTTCGGAGATTTGAAGTTTAAAAATGGTCAAACGGTGTGCATGGGGTACATGCAACTCTGACACAAGGTATCCTGAGAGGCTGGGCGACAAGGTGTATTTTTTACACTTTAAACCACATCTCAACCGAGAAAAGTGTCTCCTTTGGATAAAGTTGTGTGGTAACGTTAGACCACAACATCAACTCAACGTGAATAAGATTAACAATGATGTCTACATCTGTTCTAAGGTAAGTCAACATTGTGTTTGAGGCAACATATTGTCACTTTGCTGGAAAGAAATATAAAGTTATCTTTAACATCTCTAGCTAACGTTAGCTAAAGTTAGCCTAACGTTAGCTCCTAGCTGCGTTGTTCATCATGTCACCTTGTTTGCTGGGAGTTCATTAGCCTATTTTGTTCTAGTTTTGTACTTTGGTGATCGTACATCATTGTTAGCTGTTGTCCAAAGGGCTCTAGTTAAGCTAACGTTAACTTCTGGAGCTTAGCTTCATTAACTTATCTGTAATGGCAGAGATAACAAAGGTTGGCAAACGTTATGCTGAATGATTCAGTGTAAATACTGTAGCACCAAACTAACGGAGAGACACTCTTGGTAAAGATGGTAAAAAGGCCGTTATCCTTTTCTCATATTCTGAGCCAAAAACCTTAACTTCAGTGGCACTTTAACTTGTTGTCTTTGATGGTGACGGCAACCAGATGCGGTTCACAAGCGTACACTGTGACCTGTAAATTTTGGCTTGTAATTTAAGCTTTTCATCGACCTTCTCAACAATAAAATGATGAATATATCCCTCCAATGCGTAGTTTAGGCCCTTTTGGTTACTTCTCAATGACATCTGATCGTTATGTCCCCAAAAATCATCAGTTGCCTCCTGTGAAATGCCGTGTACTGTGACACCTGCCATAGCGCCGCTCACTGAATGTTGATAGTTTGTCCGAGTGAGTGGAGGGGGGCGTGGCTTAGCCATAGGTCAATTATAATAATTGGGATTATCTAAACAGAATATTGCTATTGTAACAATGAGATTTTTTTATATACCTGCTTCAGGTTTGGCAGTTTGTAAAACCTGCAAAACATTTTTAGTGCCACATTCTGGTCTTAATTCTGTTTGAGACATTTCCATCCTTAGAAGAAGACAGTTTTGACAATAAATGTGAAGTCTGTGGTGTATGTTTGAATCATTTGGAAATGAAATGTTGGCTACCAGCAGTGGCACCCCAAAGAAAGGACAGCAGAGGAGATACCCGCACACCAATGCAGCTGGGCTGGACAGCTACAGAAAACGTTCACAGGCTGAGATCAATGAAAAAAAAAAACATCTGTGCACAAAAAGAATTGTGCTCAAACTACTCTCTTTTTATTATTCTGTGTATAGTTGTATTTTTTAGTACATCTGTATATGTTCTGCTGTCATACATTGGTGTTTGAGGATGTGAATAGTCCAATACTCATAGGAAAGGTGGTTTTGATGAGGTAGTAAGGCTCCTGCTCCTCAGAGTTGATCTCATCTAATTAGTGGCACCAGCTGCCTGATTGATCACACCTGTTGGGAATCTCCATGTCTATATCTGTTCTGTGAAGCACACGTCAGTAGCACTGATGATAGATGACTGACTTTTAGCACCCTGAACTGACTTTGTTTTTTATGTTTTTTTGCATTTATCTCAGTCTGTGAACCTTTCTGTGGCTGTCCAGCCCAGTTGGTGTGCAGGTATCTCTTCTGGTGTCCTTTCTTGGTTGATCCATTGTACCGACGCACCCAAGAGAAACTTTTTTGTCGCCCTAAGTTTCACAGCAGCCCTAAGACCTCAAAATAAAACCATTGATAATGGCATTCAAAGGGGAAATACAATCTTTATAGGGTAGAGAAGACGAAAGAACATTCAGTCACGTCATGAACTATGAAAGCTTTATCCTGTGATCTTTGGTCTCAGGTACTTCAAGTATTTGGTATTGCCACAGCATGGAAGTACTGCACAAGCTTCATCTAAGAATGAGGAAGTTATCCCTCATTGTTCCACCCACTTTTACTCCTTTAAGTGAGACAGTGAGAGTAAAGACCAGTTGAAAGGGGGGCTTCATCTCACACACTTTTTTTGTCAAGTTATCAAGTCGTCTTTCATCACTCTGAAGTGTGTGTGTGTGTGTGTGCCTCAGTGTCAAATTACGCCCCTCATAGCAGCCTCCGCCATGAAATCTTCTGTCAGGCCACTCTGTGAACTGATACCCTTCATCATATTGCTTTGGGACTCACTTGACACAGTTTGTCAGAGTGGCGATGGTCTTATTCTATACAGTCACTGAAGGTTAAGAGAGTGTCTTCATCAAGACAAGAGATCCTACAGGATTTCTTTCAAGACTTTACCTTTTGTTAAGTCCAGTATACACTGTGATTTTGGGTTGTCCTAGATGAAAGATGACCATTGTGAAAGAAACATGGCGGTATCTTTGGTTGAGGCTCTAAAAGGGTGGTGCTACGTTTCACAGTGAGAAAAGTTCAAGGGTGGCCGTTGTCATGGTCTTGTCATCAAAGACAGCCTGGGATAAAATTCTGGGTGTCAGAAATTTGGGATGACCATCTCACAGTGTGACTGCTGTTACAACCGACATCTACTAACTAACCAACAGAAATGCAGCGTGAAATGACACACTGCTGCTAAACCCAAACAAACAGATGGATAGCAGCTCACCATAGAGGCACAATGTATGGGATTCCAGCAAAGAGGAAAACCGTGTCCAGTGTTGCCTGTACGATGTGTCCTCCAGCTCTTACCATGATCGTGTTAAGTTGGATAAAGCATGGGAGGAAATAACAGCGGAGTTGCAGCTGCCATGTGAGCCACCACAGCTAGCAAACAGTAGTGCCCACAAAACTTTAGGTTATTTAATAATGTGACCCTCTGTGTTGTGCTTCACAGTTGGAGCAGTAATAACCTGTGCAGCATCCTTGTGTACTCAATATTGGAGGCTATTGCATCGTACGCTGTAGCCTGCGATTCAGTAGGCTCTGTCATCGTTCAGTCTGCATTCATCAAACTTGATGTCATACCCAGGTTTATTGGATTTATGTCGCACAGTGTAGCTGCACTAAACATATACGATTGCTAAAATCTCAAAGTCTGTACGAGGCTTTAGTATACAGAATTTGAAGGGACAGTTCTCCCCAAAATCAAAAATGCATATTTTTCCTCTTAGCTGTAGTGCTGTTTATCAGTCTTAACTGTTTTGGTGTGAGGCGCATGGTGGTGGGAGTGTATGCCTTCTCTCTGATATAATGGAACTGGATGGCGCCCGGCTTGTGGTGCTCAAAGTGCCAAAAACATACATTTAAAAAACAGAAAAAGCAATGTCTCTCTCCAGAAATAATAATAATAATCCACACACGTTGTTGTGAGCACTTTCCCGTAAGAACTATTTTCTTTCTGCCTAAGTACACCCGCCAACTGTATCACAACACTGAAGGAGGCATACTCTTTGTGTACTGTTTTTTCTGTCTGCTATACTGTGAGTACACCGACTTTTTTTTATCAATAACACAACAGAGTCATGTGGAAAAAAGGTTATTTTTTTTAATAGAGCAGAAAAGTGACCGTTTACACCATTTTACACTGTTTCTTGGTTTCCAAAACAGTACAAATTACGTCTTTTGTTTCAGTAAGATGTACATCACTTACAGTAAAAGAAAGGAAAGACGTATCCACTCAAAACATTATTTACATTTTTACATTTAAATTAAGTTGCTCTGTTCCATGTTTCACCAGCTTCAGCCACTCGTACAGCAGATAAGATACGATTTTTGAGCACAATTAGTAGAAGCTAAAAACTACAACTAAACAAGGCAAACTAAAATCAATCAGGGAACAATATTGATTGTAGAGACATACGGTAAATGTTGTCTGCAGTGGTAGTCTTATTTATACTTCATTATATGTGACATTAAAAACAGCAATGCTATGTGTTAGAGGCACCTGCTATTCATCAGGATGGGTTTACCTAAATAGGGACGATATATCCAGCTGATACTGACAGGAAGTAAACATGAGTGTGAGACAAAGGGGTTTTCAGCTAACATATAAAAAATATATATTTTGTACAACACTACCCAACACTCAGTTCCCTGTGAGGCTTTTTTCCCCTTCAGTGCTTTTCTGAAAACAGATTAAGAAATCTTTCAGGTACAGGAGCAAATCATGACAACGTAACTGAATAATGGCACAGGAAGCGACCGATGACGCACCCGATGGAGCATGCAAACAGCCGCTCAAATAGGACGATGACAACATGTGCTATGAGTAATACAATAACAGGAAGAAAATTATGAGGTAGATGGCTGATGGTGAATTAGTGCAAGACTTTTTGTTTTTCCTTCTTTACGGAGCAGTGTGTAGGATTTAGTGGCATCTAGTGGTGAGTACTGCAGATTACAACCAGCTGAAACTTCTTCCATGTCATGTGCAACACTTGAATTGCCGTTTAGGATTTCTTCACGGTTCAGGAGGTTTTTTAGCAAGAGTTGAATTATCCGCAGAGGTCTCTTCTAGGGGTGTAAATCACCAGCTTCATTACGATACGATATTATATCGATTTGTTTGGGTGACGATACAATGATTGCTGATATCATAAAGTCTGTCACGATACGATTTTGACTTGATTCGATTCAGGAGCCTGCGATCGATATGACGCGATATCATATGCCCATCTAACACAATCATTTACATCAACTCACAAAAACAACTTGAATATGATTTGACCATTTTATTTCTGAGCTCTGTTTGTTGTTTGAGCGGAGGCGCGCTTGCCCAGAAATGTTGACACAGACATGCCATGTGAATTTCAAAATAAATGTTTATCTTTAAGATGACAATATGGATTGATGTTTTCATTTTGCATCGATATAATCGGATCGTTAATCAATGAATCGATGTATCGATGTGGATCTATGTATCGTTACACCCCTAGTCTCTTCCTCACCGAAACAAACAGACCAGGGGTCTCATTTATAAAACAGTGTGTATGATCCATTATAGAAATGTACGCACAGACAAAAGCCAAAAATGGCGTGCGCCAAAAAATATTCGACAATTTCTACAATCAGGTTTTCACCTTACCATCTGCGTCACTAATTTCATGTCTCCAGAATGTTTGTAAGTGTGGGTCAAAGTTTCTCCCATCAAGTCTGTTTTCATAGATGACAGCTTTTGCGTGGGAAATGGCATACGCCTCTTTCAGGCCTTGTTTTGTGCGTACGAAATGCATATAAATAAGACCCCAGGTGATTGAAATCAGTAAAGACACTGAATAGAGCAGTTGCACGTTAAAAATCTGTATTTCTGATGCCGTTTGGCTCGTTGCCAAGGAGACGCTAACTACAGTGGCCGACATACAAACGTGAATGGCCCAATTTAAAGCCAGTGTTTGTCTTTGTCAATTCTTGGCTACTGTAGAAACATAGCCGTGCAACATGGCAATCTCCATAGACAAGAACCCGCTCCCAGTCTAGACAGAAATGGCTCATTGTAGGTCACAAAAACACAATGATTCTTATTTTCAGGTTATATATTATATTCCATTTCTTCCAGTCCTCATTTATTTCATTCATTCATTTTCTGTAACCGCTTGTCCTGTTGGTGGTCGCAGGGGGACAGGAGCCTTTTCCAGCTGACAGTGGGCGACAGGCTAGGTACACCCTGGACAGGTCACCAGACTTTCACAGGGCTGACACATAGACACTGACAACCATTCACCTACGGCCAATTTAGAGTCACCAATTTGGACTGTAGGAGGAAGCCAGTGTACCCAGAAGACCGACGCTGACACAGGGAGAACATGCAATCTCTGCACAGACACCCCCCCAGGTCCATACCAGGAACCCTCTTGATGTGAGGCAACACTGCTAACCACTGCACCACTGTGCTGCCCAATCTGCAAATTGATCTCCCCAAATCCTACACGCTGTAACTTTTAAATCTGAATGAATGTAAACGCTGGAGTAGATTTAATACTATGGTGAGAACAGGGTCATGTGTAGCTGACATCAAAATGTTGAATGGAACTCCTCCTGTTAGTGTCTTCTTCATAAATGTGTTTACCTTTCAAAGGAATCAGTATCCTCTAACAGTAAGTACAGTATTGCGATGCAAGGTGTGCAAATGAATAAAAATAGCAACTGCAGCATCAGGAGAACCAGCTGACGTACTGTCCAGAGAAGGCTTGGGAGTTTTCCTTCAGACGACGGACTAAAAAAATTGCACGTGGCTAATTTATAAGCTCTACATGGAACAGAGGAGGTATGATTCTTATATGTAGGACATCAGTCTTCAGGTTAGTTTTACACTGTACAGGTGTTCGATCAAACACTTATCAAATGTCGTACGCCTTGGAGTATTTACATTTTCACATTTATAAATATTGTGCATTAGTTAGTAACTGCAATCCTGAGATGCACATCACCATCTCATCCACGAGAGTCTATGCTCTCAACCCCAGGCGTTGCCCCACAACAAGGTTCATGATGGCTTCTGTAAGATTAAAAAAAAAATCAGTAGTTCAACTCTTCAACAGCTTTTTTCATGTTTCTTTTCTATAAAAAAAAAGGGTCAGACAAAAAGAGATCATCCTAATTGAGGATGATAAAGGGGAGAAACAGCTTGGACAGAAACTCTATTTCTGACCGGAGACATCTTGGATCCCTCAGCAGAGGAGGAGGTCCACACTAAAGCACTTTAAAAAGAGCACAAGGGAAGAGGGGAACCGTGGGAGTCAAGGCAGGGTTACGTTTCGGTGGTGGCTGCAGTTTTTGTAGCTCGGTTAGTTCTGCTTGTTGCCGTACATGAGAGGAATGATGTAGACGGAGATGTCATCTCCAGAGCCTAATCTGTCGTTGGATATCCTCCAGCCTCGATCCTTCAGCACCCCTCGTGCTCTCATTACCAGGTCTTGAGCTGCCATTGTGTACCTGATATAACAAAAGTGATAAATGATTAAGGTGCAGTCACAGTGTGGTGATATGCAACAAGATAAATGGTCAAATCTGATAATACTCATGTGCAGTGTTTGATTAAGTGCATGCCTGCAGACTGACGAAAACAAAATCTGAAAATATTAACGGTGAACTTTGGAAACTAAGCTCACAGGAGAAGAAGAGTCAGAGTGCCTCGTTAACAGTCTTAGAAGCTTTTCCTTGACATCAGAGAAATGACTTATCTAAATTGCATAATTACAACAAGATAACAACGTTCATCCTCTACAAGTAAGACCAGGGTGAGAGGAAGTTCAGCCCCGGCTGGCGGCTGCAGCTGTGTGATGAGCGAACGTGCCTGTGCTGGTCGTCGGGGTCGCAGTTTGCCAGGAAACAGGTGACTGCTTCAGCTACTTCCTGGTTTGAGAGGACGTCCCACAGACCATCGGTTCCCAGCACCAGAACGTCATCGGCTCCGTGTTCGTACTGCGCCAAAGGATAAACTTTGACCTGGAGGTGACGGAGAAAAATGAGACAAGGGATGAAAGATGCATGGTTTCTAGGAATCATGTGAACCTGTTGCAGGAATTTCCTGTGAAGATGTCACATAAATGGCTCTGTGGAAGAATGGGAAGAACATGAAAAACATCCCTTTAATTTCAGCTTGTGTTTGTGCATTACTCAAAGGTAGTTAGCTCTATTGCTTAGCCTTGTGATCACACTTAATAAACACCCTAAATTACCAGGTGTTACTGGCTCACCATTTTCCCCTTTAAGGGTGGTGGCCTTGTGGGTAACCTGGGAAGGGAAGCAGCTCTCTTGGGGTGTCATGGTGAAGAAGGCAGGCGGCAAAGAGTGATGATAGCAGTAGACTTAAGTGTCTAGCTCAGGGCTACTGTTAAACCTCATGAGAAGGTTTGCTGTTTGTGGTGAAGACTGCAAGACAGCCATTGTTGGTGAATGGCACCTGAACGCCTCGCCATCCTACAAGCCTAACTAACATTAATGTTAATAAGCCAGCGTGTTCCCAACTGCGGTTCGGAGCCGGCAGTGAGGCATTTCCAGTCTTTCTGACAACAGTTTGCTGTCTGTAGTTCCTTTCGCCAAGTTGGAGTTATTGTCAGTGCGACAATTTCCCAAACGCTGCCTCTGCTTATGGTTTGAATGATATGACATGCACACAGCTTAAATTCCAATTCTTATATAGGTTTGGGGATATCTGCTTTTAAATGTTCTGCCTCCACACACTGGAGCTCAACAGATCCATTCGTGGTACTAAAAGACGATATACTAATCAAGTACTGTCGTGGCACACTGTCCTCCAATTGACTGTCCTGCATGGCTGTCAGACTAAGTGGTTCAGGCTTATCTAGTCGTAGAGCTGGTGTTATTTTGAAAGAGGGTGCACCAAAGTAATTAGGAGACAATTAGGACCAGGTGCGGGACCAGTGCTGATGAGAGATTTTACTGAGTAGAGCGAGGGAGACAGATGGTGGAGTCTTCCCTTTTTCCCTATGAAGTTTTTATTTCAAGTTATTGTCAGCGTGTTTAATGTCTATAAATGGACTACTGACGCTAAGTAGTGTTTGACCAAAGAATGCGAGCTGAACAGTGAAGGCCATCAGATCAGTGCCGGGGCAGCAAGGCAACAGGTAGGTCTAAATCCCTTACCTTTATCCTGGCAGCTGAACAGATACTCTAATTCACATGTAAGGGCAGCCAAGCCCTGGAAGCCCTAAACGAGTTTTAGCACCCTGAGTAAAAGCATCCAGTGCCATGGGTTGTATTTTACTGTTTCTGCATTTAGTATACAAGAAATGAACATACTTGTGCATTTAATACCAACAGTAATTGATATAATACTTCAATCGTACTGTGACTGTAGAAAGACACTGCCAATTGCACTTTACAAAGAGACATTAAAATGTTTTTACAGAAATTAAATACTCATATTCTGGTTTTCTTTTAGTTTTCTAAAGTGGTCCTGTTACTGTTGCACAACCATCCGCATAAATCAGCTGTGTCAGCTCTTTGATTTGCTTTAGCAATGCACTGTAGGGGAATAGAGTTCATTGACAGCACACTCAAAAATCAAGGGATTTTACTATGTGTTGAATACACTTTATTTTTTACCTTCTCTAGAGATAACACACATCATGGTAAACCCTATTTAGAATAAGTACAAACTGGGACAAAGCATTAGCATGTTTAGCAGGTAATATTCACCGTCATATGCTGTGTCTCAAATCACGTACTTCTGTAGTTTAATATTTTGAGTGCATAAGTGTGTTCACACTGAGAAGTATGGAAAAATGCAGTGCACTATGAGTACCTGGATGGTGCATTCAAAACTGTCAAGAAGTTGAGTGTGGAACTATGGACACTTCTCGCCCTCAGTGGTCGCCATTTTGGCTATGTAGTGCAAGGGGAGGGAAATGGCGGCTGAGGACTGTGCGACCGTGAACGTCACTGCATTGCACAAATACATGTGTTTTTTGCACTAAGCACCACTATACTGTTGTCGGGTATGAGCCAGCAGTATGTTTATTGGGTTAATTTAGCAGTCTGTAATGATTTGGTACTGCGAACGATAACACGAATGCTAATGCTAGTTTGCTAACTAGCTAATTTGCGGTCATCATTTCCGGTAAGTGCACAACGGCAGAGTTTGGTTTGAGACAACACTACCTTGTCGAAATTTGCGCACTACGCCAATAAGAACATAGTGAACATAGGATACTACATGTAAGTGTACTAATGGAAGAACGCAATTTGAGACACAGCATAAGTTTTACGTGTTAGAATGCTAACATTTGCTAGTTAGCATTCATTACAGCAAAGAGTAATGAGGTTTATATTGAATAAACTACAGTATTGGACCAAGTTAAAACTTCTATGAAATGTTATGTTATAGTTTAGTCTGGACTGGCAGCTTCTATAATGTGTTATCACTCTTATCCTCACATAAGACAGGACTTTCGTGATACTGTCTACTGACACTAGCCATGTTTCCATCAGCCTGTTTAGATGCGCATCTAGAAGTATCGCGTCGGAAAATTATGATGGAAACGCCAAAATTCGAATTAAAATCCCCTGATTCGCACAAACTAAAATACGCTTGCTTTAGCCCAGTTTTGGTTAATTCGAAAAAATGTTGATTTGCAAAACGGGGGATGGAAAAAGTTATGTTCGAATTAAGTCTGACGTAGCGCACCTCTCTCCATGGTGATATCCACACTCCGGGTCGGGAAGACAGTAATGCATTTACAAGCTGGTTGCCAACCGCCAGAAAACGTAGAAGAAGAAGAATGCGAGACTTGTTTTGTTTCCGGTTCTGCGGAAAACTCATGTGAGTTCGTAGTTTTCACCAAAGTCCGTACATTTAATGGAAACACACAGGATTCGTATTTCTTATAATGCACATTTCTCAATGATTCGAATCACTTTTGGATGGAAACACAGCTAGTGGTAGGTTGTCTTTGCTGGTGCTTTGTTGTTATTTGGGACAATGGATTGCTTTATTGTACGGAGCACTCAGCTTTCTCCTTTTAAATGTTACCATCCCTCACACTGGCTGCCAATCAGGGCTTTTGATGTGTCACACACTAATAATTCCCACATGCGAACAGCAACAAATAGGTTCCCCATGAAGGTTTTTTTTTTTTTTAAGTGAAATTCAATTAATTACATTTTAGCCAGTGTTTGCCTCTTTATTAGGAAATGGGTGCGCACCACATACTGATACAGTCAATTAAAATTCATTTATATCTTTTTTTATAAGCCCAGTTGAATATTGCAATAATATTTGGTTATCATAAAATTCTACCGCACATGCACACCATTTGAGAACCACTGCCCTAGAGTCACACATGGCTATAAATCCCACAGCAATATCCATCAGTGTTCCTGTTACTGTGGATAATCCACAGACCTCACTGTCACTGTGTTTTATTGAGGACAATATCTTTGGTAGAAAGTAGTTTTAGTGAAACCTCTACACGGCAGGATGTGCGGTTTATTCAGAGTAACGGGGATGCCGCTACGAGAAGGACACACTACTGTTGAATCTTCTATACATCATTTTTTTATTGAAACGAGCAGCACAAACAATACAGATACCTAAAAATGAAGGCAATTTCTTTTTTGCCACATCTTCCTCTGTATACTCTTTTCTGGAAGTTATTGATGGCCTCAATCTTTAAAAGATATCCTTAACAAAAGAAATGTGTTACTGTGGCAACTCTTTTGTGGCACCATCTCTCAAATTACTATGCCTGAGCAAAAGCATACAGTGAAATAGCAAGCAAAATAATACCTAGTGGCCTTGGGGGGGGAAAAAAAAGCTGCCTTAGTTTGGCTGCTTCGAGTGATTCCTTGGCTACCGTGGGGGAGTTGCCTATTCACAGCACACACACAGACTTACTGCAGAGGCTACTGTTAAAAGAGCACAGCATGACCACAGCGCCTGTGAAAGCGGTTGTAAAGGAATCAGAATGACCTCCGCGTGGATCATGAGCCTCCATGTTTGTGGTAAACCTTGTGATCTGAGTCAAGTTTTGCAAGAAGAAAAGGACTGAGGCAGTTCCTTGAATTGATTTCAAAATAGAGATTTCAAAGGCAATGAATTATCTTTGGAAGAGGAGTGATGACCAGAGCATTTGATTTCTGACCCAACGCCCATGTTTCATCTCATGATGATCTGATGACTCCAAGTGTCGACGTCAGCTTTTTTTCTGGGGCTTCTTTTATAGCCTGAGAGCAATCAGTAACACTAACCTGACATGTTTGCAAGAAGGGGTATTCACAACCTCTGCAGGATGCCCTCCCACACATGTTTTTTATACAATAACTGTCTATTTTTTCCTGCATTTATCATCTGGCGGGACCTCTAATGCTGAGGTTTGACATGCTTTACATATACTAATATGTATTTACACTCTCTCTGAAACAATAGTGACTAAAAGTATCTGTAAAAAATCCAACAAAAAGAACAACATCAAAAAAGGAGGCTGAACTATGACTGAACTCAAGTGAATTAAAGATCAAGAGAATTCATGGGCTTCGTGACTACTGCAATCATGTAGACACCGGGAAGGAAAGGAGTCATTTGAGAGCCACGGCTGGTGGGGAATGCTAATGTACATGTTGACCACATAGTTCACAGTGTGGACTGTTAATGGCCGAAGGCATTTTACATCGTTACCTCTGCGCTCTCGTTCCTGTCAGGGGGCCGAGGTAATGAGGTAAAGATCCACCACATTATTAGCGCATTGTAATCATTCAGTTTTGATGATGTTATATGTTTTTTTTTTTTTTTTTTACAACAGCTGAGTAGGTTTGGTAGCAGAAATGCACCTAATAAATATAACAATTATAAATGCGAGGTTCTGGCTTTCTAGATCAGTGGTTCACAAATAGTGTGCCAATCCAGGTGTGCCGTGCCACACATTATTACCGCAATATTCAGCAGGGCCTATACAAAAAGTTATGAATTAATTTTTAATTGACTGTATCAGTATGCTGCCTGCACCTACTTCCTAATAAAGAGGCAAACTCTAGCTAAAAATGTAATTTAATTTGATGTAATTTTAAAAACAATAAAATAGTAAATCCCTGTGCACAGCGGCGCAGTGCTTCTTCTAGGTGCCAGCTGGTGCAGGATAAATCACAGTCAAGAGTTCAAAAACTTCCAGCGCACACTAGAATATCAGGATTGACACAAAGTTTATTCAAGGAGCGAACAACGCGTTTCGCTTGTTGCGTCATCAGATTCGCTGATTCGCTCGAATCTGATGACGCAACAAGCGAAACGCGTTGTTCGCTCCTTTTGTTGTTAAACATTCTTGAATAAACTTTGTGTCAATCCTGATATTCTAGTGTGCGCTGGAAGTTTTTGAACTCTTGACTGTAATTTTAAAAACCTTTACAAGAAACCTATTTCTCACCGTTGGTACAGGGGAATTATTAGTGTGTGTGACGCATCAAAACCCCTGACTGGCAGCCAGTGTGAGGGATGATAACATTTAAAAGGAGAAAGTCGCAAGTGGGACAATGGATCACTCTATTGTATGGAGCAAATTACAACACAGCACCAGCGAAGACGACCTACCACTGAAAGAAAAGAGAAAAAACTGTCAGTAGACAGTATCATCAAAGCTACCTGTCTTATTTTTTCCTATTTTTTTTTTGTCTTAAGTTGTGATAAGAGTGAAACAGCAGAGCGAAACAAACAATTCTCAAACTTTTATTATTAACGCTGTGGTCAGATAATCCAAAAAACAACTCTTGATGTCTTTACCTAAACACTTTCCCTTGATATCGTCATGAGGTGAAAGAGAGATGTGAAGGAGAATTTGGGAGGACTTAGGAAAAGACAGCTGCAGTGGTCCGAGAGGCCAACTGCAGTTACACTAGGCTACGTAATTATGCAACGTCAGATATTATTGACGTGGGTCTGCTGTGGTAAAACTACAACGTTCTGTGGATGGACTACTAAAAGTGCACCTTAGATAGCTTGCCCCTGGCATTCTTACTGCGTTCTTTCATAAGACATTAGCGCCCTCCAAATGCAGGTAGAATTTGGCCGTAGTGTGTAACACAGTCACTTTTACTAGCCACTTGGACATGCGCCTCATATACAGTACAATATACTCAGCTGCATGCAGCTATACGCAGTATGTAGATTGATGCATGTAATGCGGAACCAAATCTCACGAGAGCATGCAGCAAAGAAGAAATCCGCATTTTATTTGTACACGGGATGCCCACTCTACCCACTGAGCTACTGGGCGCCCCACTCCAATTTCAATTTCCAATATTGCCACATGGACGCTTTGGGTGAGATGCACTTCTTCAGTGTTTATTCTGGTAATGTCACAAACAATGCACACAGGTGGGGTTAATTATACATTGCCACCAACACAACAAATACACCCAAGCAGGGGGAGCCACAATTTTTCATGGCACAGGTTCTTATGGATTAGAGCACCAAAACATGTAACAACACAAATACATCCACAACATAAAAAAACAAAAAAGGATTCACTTCATTAAAAAATATTCACTTCAGGGAACAGTGAAAATGCCAAGTGGCTAGTAACTTTGGAAATCCACTAGCCACTGTGGCTGTTGAGCAAAAAAGGTTAATGTGAAGCACAGCGTGCAGACCGTTAAAATATGGACAACCTGGTGATAAATGTTACTTCATTACCAAAGTTGGAATTGAAATAAAAAAGGGATATAGACCACAAGTCACAAAAGTGAAATAAAATGGTTATCACACACTGAGAATTAATCACATGAATCCCAACGAGTATGATTGAATGAAAATGATTTTAAAATGTATGCAAGATAGGTGTATCATATTCTTGACCAGCCGAATTGCGCATTGCTTTAAATGTTTCTACTGCAAGACACTGCAGGATGGTATTATCTCCTTTCCTTTGGTAAAGGATGGTCCAGTGTATCATATCCATGAGGAGTTAAGAAAAGATGGATTAAAGCACCTTTCCTTAGCATTTAGAGAATCTGACCAGCTCTCATCAAGGCTGCTACTTAGATACTTCTGGGTCATTTCACTCAGTAGGGTACCTTCGCAAGGAAAAAGACGATAATCTCACATTGTCTGTGCATACTATACAAGAGGACGTAACAAAGGATAAAATTCAAAGTAGAGCCTACCTCTGGGCAGCAGGACAGGAAGGGCTTAATGTAGATGTTCGAGTCGTGCACTTTGAGATTGTGGTCCCCGAGACCTCTGGTGACCCCGATGGTCGCCAACACACGAGCCTGCACAAGATCAGAAACATAGGGATGTTTTGAGTTTATTAGAACTGTGGTCTTATTTTCGATGGCCATCATTCCTATCAGTTATAAAAACATCAGACGTGCCAAAGTAATTTTCTGAGATGTGGGGACATGGCCTCATCGCGCCAATATATCCAGACAGGGCAAGAAACTTGAACAGTGAGATAGCAGTGTTTGCCAGGTTATTATATAAACCATTTTATGAGTGCAGCTGAAATAAACTGCTAAGGTCAAGTGCAGTAAGCTGAAGCTGAAGTGGTCTAGTTTGGGTCGTAATGTTACCGCTCACCTTCAAGTATGTTTGATTTCCTGGAGATTTGTTTCAAACTTTTCTATTCATCTGAAAGCTTGTTTCTCGCCCTTTCTGACTTCTTTTTAGCGATGTCACATGGTAAACGGACTCGGTTAATGGATTTGCATTTGTATAATGCCGTTCTAGTCTCCCAAACATTCAAAGCACTTTTAGACTTACGTGTCACATTCACCCATTCACACACGTTCATGCACTGGTGGTCAGAGCTAAAGGTTAACTACTCAGTTAACCATTCAAACACATTCACACCAGGAGCAATTTGGGGTTCAGAATATTGTAAAAGGATGCTTCAACATGTGGACTGGAGGAACCGGGAATCGATCTCCCAAAGTTCCAATCAGCGGACGACCTGCCCTACCTCCTGAGTCTCAGACACACATCAAAGCAATTAACTTGGACTGATGGCCGACACTACAAACATCAGTTTTAATAAACTGGAATTTTAAGTTAAATCAGGGGTTCTCATCGTTCTTCAGGCCAAGGATCTCAAAACTCAAAGAGACAGGAATAGCATGAACGTAGCAACCAGGTCCCCAGGAAGTGTGTCTGACTTTGAGGCCAATTTTCGCAGTGGCCAAACAGTGAGCCCGAGCTCGTCACGAGATGCCATTGGGCCAAAAAAGGCTTTTTCCCATAGACTTACATTGTGAATAAGACATCTGTAAATCCATGGATACATTTTTGAGCATCAAGGTTTGATCCATTCAGTCCGATAGCATTTGGAAAGTCTAGAAGAGCCACAAGATTAAACAGTTTTATCCCAATTTAAGTTAGCGAAGCGCCTAACAAGAGGTAGCTGGCTCGACCGGCAGAAATCTCTAGTGCGCTTGCTCTATGGGCCCAATGATGCGAAAGCAGCACCGATCATCTGTGTAATTTTATATGTGGCAGTTAAACATTTTTTGCTTTAAGGGCCACTGAGCAACTTTCATAGTAATGAACAGGGTCCTGCCTCCAATGCTGTATCCAGGTCCCTTAAATGCATCCATGGTATGAGCTCTATAAGTAGCTGGGGAACACTCTGACAGCTGCGGAGGTGTTCCTGAGCACATCATTGCTCTAATGAACTGCTAGTGTTTGTGTCAAGAAGGTTTTTGAAATATAGGTTTATGTATGTGTAACTGCGAGGCAAGATTTTTCTAATCAAGAGCATATGCACTCCTCCTGGGATGAAGTTAATACTTAGATCATTAAAATACTATATATAGGCTACTATGACTTCAGTGAACCCTGCGTGAGTCTGTCGCATTCATCCCTGATCATTTTAAAGAATAACCTGCATGACACATCCCCTGCGACATTTCACTGACGGATGCAGGCTACTCCCAGTGGGAATCTTTTTCTGGATGGATGAGCAGCATTGAGGCAAATAAACACAAGCGCATCGTCAGCATCTTCCAGTTTCTTGAGTGCCTAACGATCGTTTCCCCCGGGCCCCAGACGCCATCAAACTCATTTGTAAGCTGTGCGAAACTCCTTTTGATTCCCACTGTCTGCACAGGTTGCCACCGCCGCCTCTAAAAATGGCTGCTGGCACAGGACTGGGGAACTGGGCTAATTGAATCTGCTGTGCAGATCATGAGACGGGGCGGCACTTAAGGCCGGGGAGAGGAGCACAAGGGCGAGTCAGGCCAGGCAGGAATGAGCCTGGATCAGTATGCAGCGCAGAGTGGGAGAGAGAAGGAGACAGAGAGGTGGAGAGAAGGGGAGAGCGTTTCAAAGTGGCGGCAAAGCTCCTCCGGCAGAGAAGGGGAAACATCCTGGGATTAATTGTTGAGCGCTGGGGCCCAGCAGGCTGCGCGCCGGGCTTTGAAGTACTCTGGCGTTCCTCTCCCTCGCACAAAGCCCCCTCGCTCTATCTAGCTATCCATCTCCGTGCCTCACTTCAAAGAGAGAGGACGCGATGTGGGCACGGCCAACTGTGCAGGGGTAAACCCGAATGTGGTTGCAGGCAGAGCACTGTGGGGTGACATCTGCCCCAGTCATCAGTCAAACATAAATCTACTGTCTGTGTGTATTAAATAAAAAAACCGGAGAGGGCCACAGTGAGAACATATTCACATCTATCATGTTTCCTCTCTGACCTTTTCAGTGCAACAGTGCAAGGACAAGATGCTGCACACCACCACATGTACAGCATCACTGAGGGAAGGGAAATGTCATTACCACTGAGCTGAGCTCTTGACCTTTTTTTTCATGTTACGTGTCAAAACACTGAAAAGATTCTCCTGCTAGTCTATGTTTTAGCAACGTTATTCAAATTAACGTATGTCAGGTTGTGGACGCTTTTCATCTTTCTTTCATCAGATATCAAATGGGTGAGTCCCACCTTTGACCCCTGGCTGTGCTTATGCTCCACTTTACCCGATGATAGACATAAATGCACAAAGTCCATTAGAGCAGAGATATTTTCTGTGCCATAGGTTGGTGCAGGATGTGAATCGTTGTGGAAAAAGAGGCCAGGAATGCCTTCCACTGGCTGGCTCCTCCACACTGTGACTGGGGGGAGTAGAGGGGGGCTGACTAATGGTGCCCTGGCGAGCTTTGATTACAGGCGAGGCGCACAAGGCCGTGGGAGTAACTCTGTCAGCAAGCGACCAGTGAACACTTCTTACCTTCTTCCCTTCGCCGTAGATCAGGGGAAACTTTAGGTCATCGTCCTCGATGGTTTTATACGCCCTGCACAGAGGAGAGAGGACACTTTAATGGGTTTTTGGTTTATGGCAGGCAGAACACACGTGCCCTGGAGATACATCGCCCCCGCTCCCCCCTGTGGGCCCTGCTGCCGAGCCGACTGGCACAGAGAGAAAGAGCATGCTAGGAGGGAAAAGAGAGACGGTGAGGAGGGGAAAAAAATCCATCCAGACATCACACAGAGAGCGACACAGAGCCTTAGCATATTTCTCTACCTTTTTTCTTTCTAACTAATCTTATAAAAGTCTCCCTAGCGACAAAGAGCGAGACATCTCTGGCTGCATGAGACACTCTTGGTGTGCTGTTGGTTTTCTGTGACTGTCTGCTTCATTAATGTGTGTGTGTGCATGCATGTATCTGAAGGTCTGGATGTAAAGCAGCTGAATGATGCAAGAGTATCCACGTTTACATTCCCCTGCCTTCAGAGCAGTGTTTAAACTTCCTCAACTAATGAATAATTTACCGTCTTCAGACTGGGACCAGACTGAGCTGCAGTACAAGGGGGAAAAAAGACTGTATCATACTGTATATATACATGCCAGGTCTTCAGATACACTTTTCACCTCTATGTTGTAGCAGTGAAGAAACCCCTACATACACAGCCAGCATACAGTTTTACTTCAGGGAAGCAGCTGTGTCACTGTACAGTACCAGAAGCATTACAGATTTGAGCCAATTTCCAAAAGGAGCTGCCAGGACAAAGTTTTCCATTCACAACTCACACCAGGTGCTGCTTAGAGAAAAATCTGGCGTCTGTACCTGGATTGAATATCATTTAGAAATGCAGGTTTTTCTTAATTTTAGCCTTTAAACTGCAGGAAATGAAGGAAGACACAGTTTGAAGTGAATGCAGAATGCTTTTCATGTTAAAAAATATTTAGAAAATAGCAGCTATCTAGTCAGCAAAGCTGCTTGAGACAAACCTAAAGTGTTATTTGCAAATATCATGTGACCCAGGCCTGCCCCACACACCTTATCCAATGTATTTCAGCTGCTGTGAAGCAGATTAGCAGGGACCAGGATGGTTTTTACATTACTGCTGGTTCCACTCAGAGAGACCATATGTTTCCACCTTAGGCGAGCGTTATACTGCTGCACTCAGCACTTTTTTAACAGTGTGCAGAGGGAGGACTATCGCAGCGAACGCAGAGCCCACAAACACAGAAATACAGTCTGCAGCCTGAGACTCTTTAGAGCGGCGAGCTGTGGTGCAAAATAACGGCCCGTGGAGGAGTTTCCTCGCTAATGTTTGTGATATTCATGGCATGGAAAAAGCACTAAAACAGCAGTTTGATGATGTAAATTGAGCATTAAAAGAGACGCTAATTAAACTGGGGCAGACCTCACCCTCTCTGTTGTTTTAAAAAAAAAAAGGGAAACACCATTTCTCCTGCCGTATCACTCCGAACTTCTTTCATTTGTGTCACCTTCAAGAAGTGTTAGTCTCCCTAAAAAAATACTATTACAGAGAGAGACACTCTTTATGTCATTATTTCAAAGATGTCTTGGATGAAATCCCCAGAGCCTGCTGTCGGGGACAGTCTCCCTCCCGAGACTTGTGTTTACAGCGAATCCATCCTGTCAGACTTGAGATAACGAGTGTGTGACAGAAAGAGAGAGATACACATTAATCCTGTTATGATACCTGCTCCCGACTCTGGGACACGGAGTCCACAAAACAGCGAGGGGAGTTGCTCAAGGGCCGTACTGTTTGACCACAACACTGAGCGCTTTCACATTCAAGGGCTGTTCGGTCGCCTGATACGTCGCAGAGTGTGACCGATTGAGAACGAGTGGGGGAGGGGAGAGGAAGAGAGGGATGCAGAGGGAAGGAGGGGGATGTATCATCCTCTCTGCAGGTGACGAGGGACGGGCCGGAGAGGAGAGGAGAGGAGTGATGTCATCTCCGCTCGGTGCAAAGATGGGTGACAGAGAAACATTAGCAGTGTGTGCTCAGCATCCTGATCTGCGCGCACACTATTATATACATCTCCACACACACACACAAACACACACAGCCATCGACAGGCTTTGAGGTGACATTGTGGCGCGCCTGTGTCAGCACCGGATGAGTCAGACAAATTGGCATAATTGACAGTCGGGTTCGAATAAACTTTTTGGCCAACCTTGATCGGCTTTCCGTTGATTGAGTGGTGCTTTCAGGAGCAAAGCAAGGCCAGAGTTAATGGCAGTGACCCAACGACTTTCCAAATGTGAGCTACAGGCATCAGTCAAATCGGTGCGAAGGTATAATGGAAAAAGAAGGGATGAAGAGAGGGAGGAGCAGCAGAGGGAGAGAATATGTGTGACAGTGATGAAGGTGTGTGTTAGTCCCCCTCCTCTCACACTCATTGTCTATAAGATCAGGGGGAGAGCAGGCACTCTAGTGGGTGTGGGCACTAAAGAGAGACAGCTTGAGCGCCGTTCGGTGTCATTTATCATTGCCCTCCTATGTGGCCTGAACGCCGTCTCTACATCTTAGCAACCTTTTTTCTTTCTAGCCTTTTCCGCTCCTCCTTTATCTCAACATCTATCTGTGCAGCTCACATTTCTCTCAGTCTTTGTGGCAATTTCCTCCTCATTTGTTATTTCTCCCCCCTCTCTCTGTCCACTCCAGCCACCCACCCTCTTTCCCATCTTCCCTCATCCTGGCTGTCTGTACTGCTGTCATGTTCGGATCCCCTCGAACACGGCCGACCACTCAACATCCATCAGTCCGCGACGTCTCGCACACAAAACCGCCTGCCATCCTGGACGACAGTCTGTAACGCCAAAGCATCCAACTGGCCGAGGGAGGAGAGGGAGGTAATGAAAGCAAGGGAGGAAGACAGAGAGAGGTGGGCTGCAGGCCTGTATGCCTTCATTAGAACGTGGCCTTGATCATGGATGCCTTTGAGGGAATCGGATGCCAGCGTACACCCACACACACACGCAGCATGTGGGCACCCTGGCTGCACATACTGACAGGAGAGTGTACATGTACAGGCGGAAAGCTGCAGAGACATTAAAAAAAGATCCTCTGTACCTATAGAGCGTCTCAACTGCACCTATACAAGCTGACACAGTTATGTCACACCCACGCACATCAGAGCAATCAGCCACACCGGCTGACAGGGTACTAATTTAAGACCCAGACTTAGTCCGGGTGAAGCGAGCAGAACTGGGTTAGGGGTAGAACCTGATTAAAAATACATCACAGGCCGTCTGCACTGCTGAGACAGTAAGCAGGCAGACGACAGGCTGAGCGTTCTGGGCCCAGTAAGCAACACAGCGGCGGACTGACCTACATCTGCTGAACTGAGCGGCGCCGCAAAAACACAACTGCATGGAGGTGATGTCAGAAAACATTATGTTCATCTCTCCTCAGTCACCTGCACCTACCAGTCATATACCTGTATGAATAAGTGCGTATATACTGTATGTTTACGGCATGTTAAACAGGGAGAGACATTACTAAACACTTCAAGCATTAAGTACTTTGAAATAATTTAATAACCAGAGCAAAAAACAGTGGCAGTACGTTTGTAAGTACAGGTACTCAAGTATAATTTTGAGGTACTTGTTCCTTACTTGAGTTTTTATATTCATTGCTATTTTTTATTTCCACTGGAGAGGGCCCACTTAAATGTCATATTATTCTATTAATATTATTGACTCAATGTGTAAGCAGCATTTTAAGGGAATACTTCACCCCTGAAATGACCGTTTCTTTATCAATTACTTACTCCTGTGTTAAGTTGACTTAGCGAAGAAAACAGTGAACCAAGAATGGATTAAATTCTTGAATTGAAATCATTGGGGACCTGCGTTAAACAACAGCAAAACTATACAAAGTATTTGTTTACAACTTCTCACACAACTCGGGCAGTATAATCCAAGTCTCATTAATCCAGTCTTATGCTCAAAGCTCAAACAGTCAGCCCTTTCTGACAGCTGCTATTCTGCCGCTGCCTCAATCTCTATTTTGTTTGTGTTATTTTGTGACTTTGGTGAATCCAAAACTAAGCCTTTAAAACACCAAAATCACACAATAATACAGACAACCGATTGAGCCAGTGGTAGATCATCAGCTCCCATGATCAGTGAGGTAAAATTATAGTTTTTGTCAATGGAGGCTTTGAAGAGAGGATAGATAAGTTTCACTTCTAGTTCAGTTCCCCATTGAAAAGGGCTGACTGCTTGGGAAGTACTGAGCATATGACTGGATAAATAAGACTTTGATTATACCGCACGATTTGTGTGAACGCTTGTCTATGTCTGTAATTCATCAAGAGAAAAATATCCATTTTTCAATTCTTCTTTCACCTGAGTTTTCTTCACAAATTCAACGTAACACAGCTTTAAAGCCTGTGACTCCACACCTGTCAGGTAGAACTGAAGAAGCCTCTTGGATGAGAGGCGAAATGTCTTCAAGAAACTCAAGCAAATCCAGTTGCCTACGATACAGCACTTATGATTACCATGACCTGGACGACTGAGAATCTTTACCGACATGTTGCAAATTAACCTTTTACCCTAATGTGGCCTTAGCTGCAGCGTTTGTGACTATTACTGCATTTCAACGGCACAGTACGGCACAGCTCTGCTTAACTCAACTTGCTCTTTTTTTTCCATTAACAAAAGCTGTGGACAGTACCCGGTACTTTTTTTGGCAGCTCGCTTGGTCAAGGTTCCAAGCAACCTGAGCCAATACTTGAAGATGGAGTTAAAACACTGCAGACCACTAATTGGTCAGCTGGACATCCCGCACAAACCCGCCACTTTTAAATAGCCGCAACCAACATTTTTTAAATTCCCTCGACTCAGAGTTTAAAAAATGGCAGCCCACAAAACCTGGGCGTACACAATGTTGTACAACTGACGAAGTGGAGACATTCCTCTGGTTGGCTGTGGATCAAGGGTTCAGGAAGTGTCGTATTGAAAATAATGTCACCACAGTTTCTGACGGTGTCACTATGACAACCAGCAGAGAATCCCGCCTACACTGAGGGGCTACTATCCACAGTGGAAAACAAAACCAAGAAAGGGACCTGGTACAAATAGTGAGTTAAGTAAAGAAAGGCAGCATAAGATTGTGTTACTTTAGGGTTGAAGTCCTTGGACTCTTCTCTTCTAAAGAGAAAAAACACAGTGTCCACTTGGAGCTGCACATGTAATCTTTCTCTCCCATTAGTTTCTGTCTCTTCAATTCCCTGATCACCTCCTTTCCTTTTTCCCTCTGTATCTCAGTTCTTGTGCACTCTCTCTTTTCTTCCTCGTCACACCATCTCCCTCAGTCTCTTTGACCTTTTCTTTAACCTTACTCTCCACAGTAAGATAAAGAGCTGTCCTTGCTGTGCCCACAGATTCCTTCTCACCTTCCTCTCACACACAGAAGCAAAAATGTCAAGGCCATTTCCTGGCCTCCTTCTGACAGTGAAGCTTTGAATGGCTTCGCACTGCCGCACACTCAGTGGGATAGTAATCGCAATTATTGGCTATTTTCGCAAGGGGTACATTATAGGAAATCACTCTGACGTAGATAATGTCATGGAGAAATGTTTCAGCAGGGCATAATTACGTGAGGCAAGGTAGCAGAAATTATTTTGACATAAATTTCTCTCACAGGGCTCATAAATGAATCCGAACAGACACACAGGAAGTGCAAAGATGTAAAAAATTGAACAGTATTTTCAACAAATGTGTTTAGCCTTAAATAATCTAGCAGGAAGGCAGAGGAGAAACTTAGTGACACACTTACTGAAGAAGCAAAAGGGGGGGGGGGAGACAGTGGTATCCTCACAGTTTGCATGCTCTGTTGCTTGAACATTAAAGGGATAGTTCTGATTTTTTGAAGTGGAGTTGTATGAGGCACTGAAATATATTTATGTATCACGTCAGCATGCCGCCAGTTTGGAGAAGCAGGCAGGAGTACCAAAGCAGAAACTAAGCAATGTATCTTATCTGTATGTTTGCACCTAGACAAATCAGTAACACTTTAAGTGCATGCTATAGAGGGAATCGCCTTGTTGTTTACAAATACTTCTGGGTAGAAAACCAGCAGAGTTTAGCTACATATATCTATCTATCTATATATATATATACAGTACAGGCCAAAAGTTTGGACACACCTTCTCATTCAATGTGTTTTCTTTATTGTCATGACTATTTACATTGTAGATTCTCACTGAAGGCATCAAAACTATGAATGAACACATGTGGAGTTATGTACTTATTCCACACTACTGAAGCTGCTCCTCTTTTTGAAACCACCATGGAGCTGGTAATAATTTCGCTTTCAGCCATGCTTGTTGTAATAAAATATACATTTCCAATATGATATTAAAAAATTATACCAATATTATCATAAACAAGACGATATAGCACACCCCTTATATGCTATATTTAGAATATTTTCACAGATTCAGCTTGCGGTCATGTCTGTCTGTGCTCTAAACAAAGCCAACGGACTGCTTTGACAAAAATGGCAATTTTACCTCTCTGAACAGGGAAGCTGCCTCGATTGGTTGGTTAGTTTGTGTTACTTTGCGACTTTGGTGAATCCAAACTAAGCCTTTAAGTCACCACACAATAACAAAGTCAGACAATAACACAAAGTCTGTCGTAGACTAGCAGCTCCTGTGTTCTGCAAAGTCAAATTACTGTTTGTCAAAGGAGTCTGGTGCCTTTGAGGAGAGTATATATAACAGCTTCTGTTCCCTGTTTGAAATGGCCGTCTGATTGCAACATAAGCTTGGGACATGACGACCGGCATCTACTGTAAGTAATACACTGACTATGGACAAGTACCTCATAAGACCCCACTTCAAAAAATCCAAACCTCCCCTTTAGCTCCAATAATTAAATGAGTACAAAAATCAAAGAATCAGTCAACCCACCATCCCGACATGGTGAAGTCACGGTACAGCATCCTCTTCCCCACCTCCTTTCTCTGGACTCTCCTCGGGAATTCCAGATGTGTGAACTCATTCCCTAATAAGTGGGGCTGCATGTAGGCCTTTGATATGAAAAAAAAAAACAGAAAAAGAAGAAGATTGACATACCCAGGGGATAGGAAAAACAATTCCAGTCCAGTCTATTAAGCTGGCAAAGAGAGCAGGCAGTGTAAGGGAGACAGAGCTAAGCATAGCCGGTGTCTCAACGGGAGGGGAGGTCAGTTCTGCTAATATCTGACAGCTGTGCTCGCTAGAAAGGAGCTGAGAAAGAATCTTTCTTACCAGGAACTGCAGTCGCTGTCTCTCTGACTCCGGCGTGAACTCCGCTGACATGGGGATGACTTCCCCAGCCCGGATAATGATAGCTCTGAGGGAGAGGAGCAGACAAAACAAAACTCGCGTTTATTTAAGCTGGGACACAGTTGCTTCTACGGGCTGGAGGGCACAAAAAGGAGACGCACATGCACGTGTCACTGCAAAGGTATATGAGTATGTGTATCTCACCTGCTGTCCCCAGCGTTGCCAACGTAGAGCTTCCCAAGCAGGTAGACAACCACAAGAGCAGTGCAGCCACCTGAGATGTTGTAGACTGCCTTCTCCTTCTCTATCTGCACATCCTAAATACAAACACACACACACACACACATTAATCCTCTGATGAGAGCACACGATCCAAACCCATCCTATGCACATAATCATTTTTCTAATCATCACAGCCTTCAAAAACTTTTTCCTATCATGCAGCGCCACAAAGCATTTAAGCAAGGACCTGATACTGAGTTAAATATTGGTACCATGATACTATTATTAATTATAGCACCATAATGAATTCATTTATCAATAAGTCAAGAAGCAATAAAACGGAATGGAAACCAAAAGGATGGGAAAAAAAATTGCGAGCAGCCGCTGGTTATTACACCAGTTAATTAGCCCAGATTAATTTGTTGCTAATTAAACCAAAAAATGATTTGAAAAAACCCATGATATCAGTTCATTAATTAGATGAATAATTAACCTGTCAGCAAATTAATCAAAACGCTAACATAAATTTGAACCGAGCGGCTCACACTTGGTTTAACCCCTTTATGCTCTGCGCGGCTGCTGTCGGCGCGCTGCTAACAGCTCCTGAGGGACTTTTAATGGCAAAACAGAGGCAGGAAGTTTTCCTGGGAAAATGGATGACCCCTCCGGCACCTCCTTCACATCCCTCCGTCACTATCAACAGATTGAGTGGGATGAAGAATGTCGGCGGACACGTTTGCAGCGAGGCCATCCCTAACAAGTTTTCCCATGAGGGATGTTAGCCCCAACTAAAGCATATCGCCTTCTGCTCTGCTGCCGACGACCTCCATCTGATTACGACTCTGTGAATGTGTGTGTTTGTCTACAGCGACTGTGTTTCTCTGACAGGAGACAGCAGTGGATTGTAGTGTAGTACGTACACTGTGAACGTAAATAAGTGTGTGTTTGTGTCTGGCAGAAAAGATGGATGTGTGTGTGTGAGTCAGAGTGCAAGTGCGTGCACAGGGTTCTGTGTGTGTGTGCATGAGAAGCAATCATTTGTGTGACTGGATGTGTGTCAACACAGCTTGTGTGCACCTTTTGTGTAGTCTGCACGAGACACAATTAGCTTGTGTGTTTGGGTACAAGTGTGTGTTTCTGAATGCCTGCACTCCATCTTCCTTTGCACACACATTCTTGTACCTGTATCTTTGTGAGGACTCTCACTGGCATAACGCATTCCTTGGCCCATTACCCTAACCTTGACCATCACAACAGAACCTAACTCCAACCCTGAACCTGACTCTAACCTAGACCTTATTCTAACCTGAACAGTTAAACCAAGTCTTACCCTATAAAGGGGTCTTTGAAGAAGTGAGGTCAATATCCTCACTTTCTAAAAATGTCCTCACTCTGTTGGGTTAAAAACATCCCAGTCCCCACTATGTAGCAAGTACAAGAACATGTACACACACACACACACACACACACCACTGTTGCTGCTGTACACATTTCTCAAGAGTGAGAGAGCATGAAGGAGTTTCGAGGATGGATGTGTGCGTGTGTGTTTGTGTGTGTGTGTGTGTGTGTTGGGGAGGGGGGAACAAATGTGTCCTTCACCCTGAATGAATTATGAATCCATAGCGAGCCATACATATTTATCCTCGCTGTATCCAATACCTCTTGCTGCAGGCAAAGTCTTTAATAATGAAAATGTCTGCATAAACATCTACACCTTTCTCCTCTCTACTTCCGCCAGGAAGAATCTAACAACGGAGCTAAATAACCAGCAGGCAGAGAAAGACGGGGAGAAAACCGTTTCTGCACTTCTTCAAATGAAATTCTTTATTGTTTCTATGAAAGACGGGGAAAAAACTGCTACGCGACAGGACTGTGAAATCAGGAATTACCAGATTTCACATCAGTCCCACATCACATCATATGACCACATCAGCCACTATCATAAAAAATAACTGTCTGTCAATAATCACCCAGCAAGTAAAAAGAAAAATCTAATCTGCCATTCTGGGTACAAGTGAGGACACGACAGAGGCAGAATTAATTATATTCCACTGAAATCCACTCACAAAGCCAGGCACAAGCTGAGAGTACTAACATACATAAAAGTACTGTGCAGTTCCAAGCAACAACCTGCAGGACTAACACGGACGCCATCAATCAATCAATCAATCAATCAATTTTATTTATAAAGCCCAATATCACAAATCACAATTTGCCTCACAGGGCTTTACAGCATATGACATCCCTCTGTCCTTAGGACCCTCACAGCGGATAAGGAAAAACTCCCCAAAAAAACCCTTGACTGCAGTTCCTTGAATGGCCACTTGAGGCTGTCTCCAAAAGCGAGTGAATCCTCATCAAAACAGTTTTGATCTCTGTAGTTAATTTTCCCCTTCATGACAACTGTACGTGAGTGAATTTTTATATAACTCACCCTCACTTTGCGTTTTATTAGGGCTTAAAGTTAAATCTGAGGTTACAAGTCTTTAAGTCCCACATTAACAAGGTATGAAAACATCATTTTTCCACCTCAGAAACAAAGCCAAGGTATGACCATTTCTAAATGAAAAACATGCAGAGAAATTGATTCAGGCCTTTATTTCAAGCCCCCTCGACTACTCTAACACACTTTTTACTGGCCTCCCAAAAAACACCACTGAGAGACTTCAGCTCATTCAAAACTCTGCAGCTCGGCTATTAACCAGAGCCAAGAGGAGAGAGCACATCAGGCCAGTCTTAGCTGCTCTGCACTGACTTCCTGGTACATTAAGAATTGATTTTAAGCTCCTCCTCCTTGTTTTCAAAGCCCTAAATAGGTTGGGACTGAGCTACATTGCTAACTCCCTTGTTAACTGTCTGCCTACAACAACACTGCAATCAACTGCTGCTGGTTTATTGGAGGTTCCCAGCAACAGCCGGGGATGCAGCCTCTGTCAATTACGCCCAAAGCTATGGAACCCACTACCTATAGATATCAGGGAAACTATTATTGTTAAAGTTCTTCTCTTGCTCCTCCACAGCACCAGTCTCTCACCCAAAAATGGTCACTTCTGGCTCTAAAACACCAAGATGGCGAGAGCCAAAATGCTGAACTCGAGGCTTAAGAACAGAAGTCCACAAACCAACGGATGACATCATGGTAACCGTGTCCATTACTTTTATAGTCAGTTCACATACACACATCTCACCCTACCAAATTACAATAACCGCCATCTTAATGCAGATTATTAGTTTCACTAATAAAATACAGAAGCATTTCTGAACACCACTTCACATCTTAACATCTAAAGTGCAACACACTCTGCCGCTGGCGCAGCGCCGTGGCCATCAAGTGCCGCCCCCCAACACACAATTGGCAGCGGCGCGCAGCAGCACCATCGACATTAAAGTGTATTTCCCACCCCAGCCCGCTAAGTGGCTGTACCTACACTAGTTACCAACAGTTGCCAACTGCTAGTAACGGAAGAAGAGGAGGAAAAACTTTGAGGCAACAACAACTTAATAATTTCTCATTAAAATTTTGAAAAACTTAATAACGTTAAGCATCCAGATACCCCTTTGAAAGCTGCAAATGAAACCCACAATTGACTAGCTTAAAACGTTTAGCTAACGTTTTTTTTTTTTAGCCTTTTAGCTAAATTTTTTAGCCTCAAATGTTATATAATTCCGGGTATTTCTCCACCTCAGTGATTTATTTTTCCTCATCCATTACCATACCAATTGCTACTGTCCAAAAACAACCACAAACAACAACAGAAATGGTAGGCAGCGCCAAATATCTTCTCTCCTGGCAACCGGAGTTGATACTACGGCAGCAAAGACGTACATAAAAGGCTTTTCTTGCAGTGCCGGCCGTGCTGGAAATAGAGCAGTGGGCTGAAGCAGAGCGGCGCGTCGGCCGGTGCCGGTGTGGGTTTGTTCATAGAATATGATGGAGGCGGGCGTTTTGACGCGCGGCGTATGGCGGCGGTGTGTGTTGCACTTAATACGAGGGGTCTTTAACTTTTTTCTTGCCAATCGACCCCTTGGCTGAAAGATTGATGGAGCAGGGACCCCTTACATGTGTAAAATTGAGTTACATATTAAACTGGGCCTACAGTAATGTGTCTAGTACTGGTGCATATAATACTAAACTATTAAAATAATAGTTAGTGACAGATTTATAAATGTGTACATCATATTTTAATGTTAAACATACATTTGGAGGGCACATTTATTTATGGTTGTTAGCTAGCTCACATGATTACAGCACAGGAGGATTCACCAGTAACAGTTATGCTCTCATCAGTGTTATTTACTGTTAACTGAATGGGTTGTTTATTTATGAATAGGATGATTTATCTTTGCTAATGATAATTTGGAATCATGTTAATGTGTATTTAAATATTTTGCATATTGTCATTATGTCACACATTTAAATTTTTGAAAATCACTTTCAGATACTTTCTAAAAACCACTAAGAGATTTGTTTGACCAATTAAACAACAGGTGTTTCAACAAAATGGACATAACAAGGTGCGCTCAGAGTAGATGTAAAATGCTTCATAGGTTGAGAATGAGCTGTTTCATTCAGCATACTGTAGGTCATGAGGGCGACCACCTTCACAACAATGTTCAAACCAGCTTACTTGCCAAAGGAGAAGAAAAGGTTCGACTGTCTTGGCAAAAGCTGCTGTTGAGTCACCGTACTACCTATGAACTGCAGGTCAGGCAAAAACTCACTTCTCCGTGCTGTTTGTTGTGCTCTCAGTTAGTGAGTTTACAGAATCAATGAGAGCCAGGGATATAGCAAAACAAAACAGACAACAGAGAACAGAAATGGCAGAAAAGGAAGTTAGAAAAGGTGTAAAACTGATGATGGACAGTGAGATCAACTGAATAAATCATTTTAACTGATTAGCAGTCACGTATCAGCAGCTTCTGAGGGCAACAAGGACCTTTGGGCAAATGCTTCAGCTAATGCTCCTTTAAAAAAAAGCATTAATAACCCACTGCTAACACACACAGTCACACACCTTGCCATTGCAGCTGTCAATATTCGTGCATTAATGGTATTAACTATAAATAGTGCCCTGAGATAGACTGGCAACCGGTC